TTCGAACAGGTATTAATATGACTCATTTCCTGGGAAGTATATAAAAATTTTAATTACCTCTAAGAATCAGTAAATATACAAAACACAGTGTTAAATTGTAAACGTTAAAAAAAAAAATCATGATATTTAGCAATGTATTTTTTAATTAAGTTTTATTATTATCATTATATCATTTTTACAATTGAGGTCTTCTTAAACGACCTACGTATAGAATAAAGTAGTTTAAATTTTAAAAAAAATAATAATAAATTTTTTTTTAAATTTTTATTTTTTTACGATTAAATTATTGCATTAATATTTGTTCGTTAAATAAAACCAATATAATGTACCAAAAATGTTATTATATCACTATAACTAAGCCATTTATGTGTACTGAATGGTGTGGTAGAGGCCTGTAGGCACCCACGCCAGTACCGCTTTTCTGCCGCATAAGTACATTTTCTACGGAACTGTTTAAATTTTTTTAAAAAATAATCAGTGTTTTAGAAAGAGAAATATATTCTCCAGATGTTTTATTTCAGCACGTTTTGCGTTATTGTAGGCCGTTTAATTACAAACGACGCTTGATTCGTAACTTGAAATTTTTTTTTAAAAATAATTTGACTTTACTGGTGTTTTTCGTAGCCTAAGCCAATTATTTTTTAATATTTCTTCATGTTTTATTATTCTATGACTATTCAGCTTTAATAAAAGACCAACTATGAGGAAATTAAGTTAAATGCTGATTCTCAGTGACCAAAAAACTAACTAAAGTCAAAGTCGTCAATCCGCCATCTTTGGACGCAATTTTGGGGCAGTGCGTTCACTTTTTTTTGTGGAAACATTGGCTTTTTTTTAATAATTTGTTACAAGAAACACAACGATATGCAATTTATAGGGATGTGGGGGGGGGGGTGCACGGTAAGGGGGTCTGGCCCACCGTTAGTGTCGCCCGAAATCGGTTTTGGTCTTGCAAAGTGCAAGACCAAGACCAACACCGCCTTTCTGTTGCAAGACCAAGACCAAGAATGGTATAACAAAATCGATTTTTTAAATAAAAATTGAGGCAAAAAAGTTACCAATACTGTCAATTTTAGTTAATATACTGAAAGAATTGGTATAACAATATACTTTTGCATTTAACTCTTCTAATTTTTCATTAAGGCTTAGTTAGGTTTCTCCTATCTAAAAAAATACAGTAATATCTCTCTAGTAATAAGTTCATAGGTAACTGCAAGACTGTTGCGAAACAAGACCAAGACTGACATTCCAAGACCAAGACTCGTTTTGGTCTCGCATTTGAGCAACACTACCCACTCTGTATAATATATACATATTCTACATAGAGTGTGAATGTGATCTCTGAACATTATTATAAATGTTGTTTGAGACAGATTATATATATATATATATATATATATATAAAATATACATATTACTTATTTACTACCTATATAATAAATATATTAAAATAATTTATTTTATATTTCAATTGTACATCGCACTAGTTTGTGTTTCTCCCCTTTTTAATTAATTAATAATCCCCCTCCCCCGGCATTGGGATTAGATTTCGTAATCTTCGGTTTTTCAGATTGCCGAGAAACCCGAGTTTTTACATATGCATTAATTAGCCTGTACTGTCACCCCGCCCCCTCTAAATCACACTCATTTTTTTTTGTCAACCCCGACTTCGCCTTTTAGGCTATACGGGACGCGAACTCGTAATTTTTTTTTATACCTAATGAACTTTGGTTTATCAATCATCTAGTTACGGAGGAACGCGTGATTTGCACACACGTTAGCTCGCTAGGCCATCCCACCTTCCCGCCTCCTACATAGCAGTAGTGTATAAATATCATTAGTGTAACACCAAATTATAAAAAGACATGCAGAGAATACAGAACTTCATTTTACGAGAAACCTAATACCCTCTCTATCTCTCTAATACCCCAATCGGCACAAATATAATATACTTCCAGAAATTGATTTCTAGTTCGCCCATCGATTATCATATAATTTCAATGTTTCCAACTTTCTCTATTAATGACATGTTTGCATGAATATTCATATAAAAATTATCGTTTTCGAAGAGAAAACTATTGGGAATCCCCAAGTTCTCCGAAATTGTCTGATATCTGCTTCTTAATAACAGCATATACGTAAAACAGTGTAAATATCGATTACTTCAATCTGGAAATAAATGGAAAATAATAAAAAAAAATAGGAAAGAAAAAGCGTCATTTTTTTTTATTTTGGATTCAATAAGAAAATAAAGAAATAGATAACCATCGGCTTGGCGGGAAAACATTTTGGCGGGTTATTGTATTAGTCCATAAAGGGTGTTAAGACTTGGCTCAGACCTCGGGATCGATACAATATAGTGTGCTTATTTCTCTGAAGCAGCTCTCGACAAAAGCTATTGTAAGGGCTTCAGTTCAAAGCCTCCCCGGTCGTGCCCTGACTCGGGATCTGTCTGCCGAGGAGTTGCTATGAAATGACAGGTAACATTTAAAACAAAACACAGTTCTATTTTTACAAAAGTAGATCTTTTTTTTTTTATCTAATGGATATATGAAAAACCAGAGACGATGGTTAGATATAGTTATTATTTTTAATATCATAATGACCATATCATAATTTATGAATTTATGTATCCAATTTGGTATTTTATTTATTACCAACTCTGCCCTGCCTTTCAGCGGTATAAAGGTATTTACAGCAGTGGGGTGATCCTTAGCAACCAACTGCTGTTATTTTAGTACTATCGTAATCCGCCAAGTAACTGATCTACATTTATTTCTATTTATCTTTACTCTACTTGATTATTATTCCTGTATCTTGTTCCATTTTACCTTAAGAAGTTTTACAACTTAAGCCGATACCTTGCCATACATAAAAATTATAATTTAATTTACAAAAAAATTACCTTATCCATTCTGAGGAGATGTATTTGCATATCTATTTAAAAACCTTGGTAAACTTTCAGAGAATCGGATGTCTACGAATATATAAATTTGATGTAGTAGTCAGATGCTTTTCATCCCCAATAGAACCTTAGACTCTTTCAGATCTTGAATGCCCCGATGACATGGTACATGGGACCAAATCTACTTAGAAGGAACCGTAATGTGTGGCGGAAAGCCAAAATTTTTAAGAATAAATCCAAATATGCTCCCTTAGCATTGACAATGTTATTTCTATAATAGGTTTTTTTTTAGTTATATAATATTGACATAGACTTCCACAATTGACATACCCATCAGGAGGTAACTGAATATGAGCTGGATGAGAGATCTCCTGTTCTAAATTAAGGAAGAAATTATTGACATGCAGTTTCTCAAATTCACAACAGCTCATCTTCTTATTGTGAAATTGATGACGTACCGATTTGGATCTGAAGAGCGTACTAAAATAAGATTAAAAATGTGAACTGTGAGCTAATAATAGTTCTCATTTAATCTGTTTTGAAGAGTGGGTGCCAAAAAGTATTGGTGCAAGAGCATAAATTCGGCTCTGGGTAAACTGGATTGTTTGTGTTCGTCAGCTTGCTTCGGATTTGTTAATTTAACAAATAATTTAGAGTTCTTAAGATTTCGAATGACTAATCAAATTGTTATATAAATATACCAAGTCAATCACGTAAGCTGACATATATATCGCCCTCATAGCCAAATAATTGTTGGTCCCAGCTGTTTCAAAACGTTGTGCTGAGACGTATTGTGAGACACTTCATTTCAGAGCGCAAAACACAGGCCTATTTCTATAAGACCTATTGATAACATATAATACTCGACTAATCCATTTATTAGGAAATAAAGTTTTATAATAATATGAACAAAAGGTGGCTAACACGTGCAAAAGGCCTCAGGCATGTAACTGACTAACTTCGGTCCACGTAGTCATGACCGACACAAGACAACTGGTGAGCCCCATCAGTAGAATATGGTCTCATCACAATATCAATTTTAACTATTAACTCCCTGAGATTTCATGCAGTACAAGGGATTCTATCCCACAAAGATATCCAAATATCAATAACACACCTATGAGGCTAAAAACAAATAAACAATAAAATGAAAACACTTTAGGATGGGCATGTCTGAAACATTTTATGAAATTGGAATCGACTATTTTTATCCCTTACTATTATTGTCTTTATCATTATGGTTTCATATATAACTATGAAATAAGATAAACAACTTTGAGAAATAAGAAAATTAGCTTTGAATAGTTTTACTGATTAGGTATGAGCCAAATCTAATTAAATATTCTTTTTGAGTTAAACAATTAAAAAGGCTTTCAGGTCACTTTTCAATATACATTATAATTTCCAAATGTAATACAATATAGAATATACTTTTCAGTGACATGGTTACAGAAACATACGAGCTATGCAGTGAATGTAATACGTCTCCGTAGGCTTCAAGTGGCAAAGAAGACTATTTCTCATAACGCACACATCAAAATTGCAATATTTCTCATAAGTGAACTGTTTTTATATTCCCAACATGGTTTCACATTCTTCATTACTTTAGGAATCTCAATTTTATATTTATTTACATATAATGTTTCAATAAAATACTTCTGACTAATCTTCTGAAAGCGACATAAAAATGTGACATTTCTTAGAAATTGCAGTATATTTGTGACGGATTTGCCAAAAACAGTGCGGTAACTAGACGAATAAACTGTTCTATGAGGTATGTTGTAAGTAAAACGTATTTAAAAGATAAGTATAAAAATACACTTTTTTTTCAAGAAGTGTTTTGATGGATACAATAAATCTCATCAATAAGTGATAAATATTTTCTACACAATTTGGAAATATATACTTAAGATCGTTGTAATTTTATGAAAATGAAAAAAAATAAAATAAAATAAGAAGTTAATTTTCATGATTATTTAATTTTTTACCATCTGTTTTGATTACTCCAATTTCGATCTTATTCCACCGCATCGATAGTCTTTTGCTCTGAAGGTCTATCCAGTGATTGAGGTCTCAGTTACCTTTACTGGAAATAATGACGACACGCGACCAAGGTATCACGGGTCTTCCACTCCAGATGTCGCGAACTCCAGAAGTCGCGGACTCCAGTGGCCAATGTGTCGCCGGTCCCCCTCCGTATCTCCCTGACCCTGATTTCTCCCGCGGTCAGAGTCTATATAAAGCAGGAGCAGTCCTACATCCGTCGTCGACATGCTGCCCTTCGGATTCTTCCTCATTCTCGTCTTCTCTGGAGTCTGCAGAACTGAGGTATGTCTATTTCTTACTGCGATACGGAAGCTTGTAATCTTGCGCGAGGCAGGCTGCCTAGCTTCCGATTAGATATGTGGTCTAGCGATTTCACTTTCAGTTGACTATTTATTTATAGTTTATTTTACCCCAATTCATCTTCTCCAATCAGAATACCATACTAGTTAATCTGGTAATAAATGCCTATTTTAGGTCAGCTATTATCTATTTGTAAATAAATCACAATATGCAGGAATATTTTTACTAATAAAACTGATAACTTGTAATCAGAATCTACGTATCACTTGAGGTAATTATATTTCCTGATTTGACCAATTTTTTTTTATTTTTAAGCTCGTAAAGTTGTAACTTCTTTCACCTCTTACAAAACTTTTTTCTTTTCTTTTTTTTTTTTGAGTATAATAACAATCTGTCTCTTGGACATTGGTTATAGTGAGGTAGGATGACATTAACACTATATGTACAAAAAAAATAAAATAAATAGAACAAAATAATAATCAAAAGTATATACAATAGGTACTAAAATAAAATAACCTAAAAAATAAGAAAATTAAAACTAAGAAGAAAAAAAAACACATGCATACCTATATACAATCAGGCGAGGGAACTCCAGGAGAACCCTGCGCTACTCTCTACACTGGTACTAAAGCCAGCGGAGATTGGTCGAGAGCACTTTAGCCACATCTTACAAAACTATAAATTTGTTTCGTCATAACCTTATCTAGAACTCATTTAAACTATGAAAAAAGCCAACTCCCCACGTTTATGTACATTGGTATTTAAATCGTGTTAATTTCAATAATTTGGGGGATTGGGATGGTAGAGCACCGATCTTCCAATGTTCAAGGTCCCGGATTCGGATCCCGGCTCATGACAGAAAAAAATTAATCTATTTTATCGACTAGGGTCAGGAGATCCTGCTGGGGCACACTCAGCTTCTATAAAGTGATTACCTTTAATTTAATAATTAATTAAAGGGGAACACTTAGTGGTTGCGCGTGATCTCAGTCCAATCACCTCCTCTCACAACCGTTGACTAAGAAACTGTACTTTCCTTAAATAGTACTGGACCCAAGGCCCTTCGTAGATTGTAGTGGTACAGGTTATTTTTTTTAAATTTCAATAATTAATACACATATTCAATGACACATATCAGAAAAAATGGACATCTAGGAATAAGTGACTGAAAACGAGAATGCTGAAGAATGAGACCTATGATAAATGCACATATTGCAAGAACATAGTGTGAATTAAAAGTAAAACAAAACCTTGTTAAATATAATTATCCAACCACTTCCAACTCGTACTGTTCAAAGTTATTTAACTAATTAAATCAACTTTAATTGTTTACCAAGAATTCAAGCAAGAGCACATGAACACCATTGTATGTTACTAACACACACTATATAAATGAGTGTCATCTAATACATCAGGACTCATTACAATCCATTTCGTGATAAATTAAATGGATGTATCAATCCACAGAAAGAAATTATAACACTCATCGCGATGAATTATTTAATCCATTAAAAAAAAATGATAGGATGGAGGTCATGATCATGTTTTATTGAGCTGATCCAATTTTCACGAGCATAATATTTGTACTCTCGTCTAAGTCTAACCTAGACTGATGAGAATCAGTAGTTCGCATTGAAAATATTGAAGTTCTTGTACCATCTATCTGAGTTATTTGAAACTCAAAACATTATTCTTTTGTAACCTTCCCACGCAGATAAGCGTAAAATGAGATTTCAGCAAACTAATCTGCGACAGAGCTATGGTGAGATAAGTGATCGTTTGCTGTCCCATACACTTTTGTCAAATATGTGGCATGGCCAAAAACTCTGAACGAAAGAGGCCATATAAAGACCCAAAGACCTCCTCTTACATGAAAATTCAGAGACTAAAATGGTCAGATCCTAAACCCGTGTTGGATACCGGAGAGCCAGTGAGCGGTTAGTGCACTAGCGTTGAGCAGTTATCTTAAATGGTCAGCATCTTCGGCAGTTCAGGTCCTCTATAACACGTTTAGATTCCGATGAGTACCCGATGTTGAGCACACTTCAAGCAGCTTCATTTTGTGGTTGTGATCGTAGAATAATAATATCTCACTTCAAGAAATAATAAAAAATGTACACGTAAAATGTGATTTTTTTTTCTGTTTCGAACAATAATTCTTTATTTTATATCATTCTAATCTGTTGCATTAATATTTATTAATATGTAAATTACTACCCAAGAATCCTTTATCAAAGAGTAAGCGAGATGAAGCGTGTTGAAGAAGAAATTTTGTGGTTATAAGATTAAATTTGGTGGCGCAATATTTAAATTAAATAATTATGCTCCAGGATGCCCATCCCCCCTCCTTCGCTCTCCTCCCTCACTCTGATGGCGCATCCATCGCCTCTCAGAGTAAATTTTATTGTTCTTCTTAAAAACAGTGCAAAGAAAAATAGATTTATAGAAATGGTAGTTTACATACAATCCCACTTGCTGTGGTCTGTCCTATATTTTCTCTTGTCATCTGGTTTAAAAGTTCTGCTAAATAGAAATCCCGGAAAAATTTATGGTTCCTTGACAAAATAACTCCTATCGAAAAAGTTGATGGCGTAACTTGTGTCACGCCATTTCTTGGATACCTCTGAATATTGCTAACAAATACGACTTTTTTTTTAATCTTTAATTTTATATTCATGGTTTTCAATCAGCCTAGAATAAACAATACGCGTAATATTTTAATAATATACCTTAAATTAACGTATTTATCATATTATTGGCCTGTCAGGAGACAGGGCTGCACCCAACCTTAACAAAAAATCTTCAGCCAGAAATGAATCCAGAATTATTTTTTGGGTTGGAGGAAATATTTTCTTTTCTCTTTTAAATGTTACTTAATTTCATATGTGACAACATGGTGCACTGATCAGTAGGATATCATATATATAATAAGTATTTTTACAAGTTCTCAAGTTTGTTTATTTATAATCAATTAAAGTTAATTATATTAACTTGTCCAAGTCCAACACAACTTTCACTTATCATCCTCTTCTTAGCAGAAATAAGTATTTTTAGACAAAGGGGAAGTGAAAGTAAAAAATTACAAACGCTATATTGATTTATATTTCATTGTGGGTATTTTTATTTTTATAAGTACCCTTATATAAACAAATTTTAATATTTATATCGCTATAATCTATAAAATTAAATATTAAATAATACCAACAATAGCATCTATGAAAACCGCCCATGTATATTTACATAATATTGTCGGAGTCCTTATTATATTAAGCTCATGTTACGTATGGAAGCATGTTCTAATATTTCGGCCGAGCTCGGGTGCGCTGGTATTCCTTTGGTTCCTCAATTACAACTATTCTCCGTTACGATCTCTTATTTCTCTTTAGTTAACTATCAAATTCTTTAATATTTTATGTTTAAATATCTTTTATATTAGAGATTAATGTGAAATGGTCATTTGTTTTAAATAAATAAAAAAATAAAGGTACTTTAGGGGAAGCTAATATTGAAAATTAACCAATTAAGCCCTGTTAAAAAACATCAATCAGAATAAAAATTACAGTTTATTTAAATACTGCTTAATTTTACACTAATATGATGAATTCAATCAAAATCGTTAGAGCGGTTTTCGAGAAAATTGCAAAAATGTGTTACTCCGCGATATAAAGTGCCACTTCCGGTTATCCTATTTTGACGAAAAAGTTGCCAGTACGTCTAAGGTATATACATATATCTATCTGAAATATGCAATTTCATTTGCGTACGACTTTTCGTTTTTTAGATAAACTGTTAACACACTGACCATTTTGCGGGACTTGGTTATTTGGACGCAGGGGACCTCAAACGTGTATTTCCGTTGAAAACTGAGATTCGAAAATTTTCACGATCGCAATACTTTTCTTTACTATATATTTCATATATAGGTAAGTGAAAGTAATAATAATGATCGCTATTATCAATTTGACTCATCGAATTGATCATTATTATCAACTGACTCATCGAAAAATCAGTTGCTATATTATGATGCTTGGGAGAGAGAATATATTTATTATTTTAATAATTGAACATTATCAATTTCACATAGTCAGACCCAACATACAAATAGGCATAAGCTAGTCTAAAAATATTCTACGCAGACAGTTACTTAAAGTAATCAGATACTCGCCATCTTACTAGAACGAAGGAGAGTTTCGATTGGAGACTATTTGATAAATAGCCAATTGTGTCGGATGCTTTCACTTCTTCAAAACGAAAGCAGCCATTGTCTTCTGGGCCAAAGGTTCGTAGGCATTATCTATAATCCCATTAATTTAAATTAGATTCAGTTTGGTTAATTTGAAAGGGAATAGTGCGAAATTCGTAAATTAAGTTGAAAAATAATCAATTAATTAAAATAATCTATACTAATTATAAAACTCATTTTAATCTTATCTTGTTTATTTTCGTTTTAATTTTTTATCAACCAACCAGCTCAACATATAATTTCTTTTGTCTTTGTTTGTCTATAATTTTTTTTTTATGAAGCTTTTAAAATAACATTTGTTTAATTGATTTCATGGTCATTTCTATGTATGCTTCCGGTTTAAGATCATTCATTTGGAACTCTTCCGACTGATATTGCACTTACTTCGTAATTTCGTTTCATTTAAAACAATCTCGTGTTTAACTTTACTTAATTTTGGTTTATTATTTTCAATAATGAAACATTGTGATCGACCAAAAAATTCAAAAACATAACACCCTCTCAAAATTTGAGGTTTCACGTTTCAAGACGCGTAGAATTCGAAAAACGAATAAAATTTTTTTTGTCCGTCCGCCGTCCGCCGTCCGCGCATTTTCTCCGAAACTACTGGACCGATTTTTTCCAAATTTTGATATAAAATCAGAGGTCACCCGAGGATGATCCTCCTTCATCGACATTACTCTCCGCATTTAACTTTCAAAATGGCGGCCGAAAAACCTGCGTTGCTATAGACTGTAGCTCCTAAACGAATGTACAGATTTCAATGATACTTCGCT